CCCCCATGGCCCCCTCCCCCCTCTTTCAGCCCCCGTCTTCCCCCTACTTACCAGCATGGAGTCCGGGTCCAGCTCCCTGCTGCAGCCAGTGGGGACTGCTTGAATCATCAAAGCTCTTTGAATCTTTTCTGAATTGATTCAGAGAGCTTCAAATCAATTCAGACCTTTTAATTGGTTCCCCAATTCGATTCAAATTTGGAAATTTTGCCACCGAATTGGGCTGAACCTCCTCCAAATTGAATGAGCACTTGAAGTTTTGCACAGCCCTAATCTGGAGTACTGTGTTCATTTTTGCCCCCCCCCGAAAGGATGTAGACAAGTTGAAGAGAGTCCAGCAGAGGGCAATGAAAATGGTGAGAGAGGTATGGGGACATGACTTGTGAGGAGAGACTGAGGGAACTGGGCTTACTTAGTCTAGAGAAGAAAAGACTGAGAGGGGATTTAATAGCAATTTTCAACTACCTGAAGGGAGTTTTGAAAGAGGGTGGAGCTAGGCTGTTCTCAGTAGTGGTGGATGACAGAACAAGGAACAATCGTCTCAAGTCACAGCAAGGGAAATTTAGATTACATATTATGAAGGATTTGCTCACTAGGAGGGTATTGAAAAACTGGAAAAGGTTACCCAGAAAGGTTGTAGACTCTCCATCTTCGGAGGTTTTTAAGACATGGATAGACTAAGCTTTGGCTGGGATGATCTAGTTGGGGAAGGTCCTGCTTTGAGTAGGAGGTTGAACTAGATGATTTCCTGAGGTCCCTTCCAACCCTAATTTTCTATGATTCTATGAATCACAAGCTGAATCCAGAAAATTCAAATGTGAACCTATAGTGTCAAAAACAGTCTAACCTGTTATGATCTCTCTTTGCAAGAGAAGAATTGCTCTACTGTTTTTCTAGCATCATAAAATGAGTGAAAGCTAAGAGCTCGCATTTTTAGAGGAGTGCCTTGAAAACCACTGTTCTAGTCCCACTTTAATTAGTCAAGATAGGACATAAGTGATCTTTAAGTAATAGATAGGCCTTGTACTAGTTATCTGCAGGAAAAGAATTTCAGACAATAAGGTCAAAGTGGAGATATTAATACATTTATCAACCAATAGACAGAGGGCCAGATTCACCTACAGAATTATGCTGGCATGAGCCAGAGTAGATCTTTGAGCAGGGCTCCATTATCTGGCACTCAACCAAGGAAATGGTTGAAGCAGTGCGGAGCAGCCACTGGGCTGTGCCATCTACCCAATTTCACTGGACTGAAGAGGGCCAGAGTCTCAGAAACAGATAGTACCGGTTAGGGACAGAGCATAGAAAGAAAGTGATAGATTTAACACATCTCCTCTGCAGTTGTCCTTTAGGTGAAATGACTATCATGCACAGGCAGCCTAGATAAAGAGGAGAGATATATTTTATCCAGCCCTCCAAGATCACTGGTGAGAGATACATACACAGAGAAGAGTACAAAGTTCAGTCAAAGAAAGAAAGGGGGCCTCTGAGCAGATTACAAAATAAGGTATTTGACACAGTAGACCATGTAAAAGCTGACTCAACATATCTGTAAAAATTACAAGAAAGGCAGAGCAGAGCATGAGAAGTAGATAAGAATTAAAGAAAACCACTTCTTAATTATGCAAAAAAACTGGGGTCATTGATATACTCAAGCTGGGAGGCTGCTCCAACACAGTAATTAAAGTGCATCAGAGCAGACTTGATTAACTGAGTCTGCTGGAGTGTGGCAATTGCCGCGCTCCAACTAGCCTCTGCGTCTTGTGTATCAGTGTCCCCACACTTCAAAATGGTGATGGGGGCACTTTAACTAAAGCTCGTCTGGTGAGTTTTAGATAAAGTGCCCCCGCCGCCATTTTGAAGCACGGGGATGCTGATACATGAGCTGCTCCAGGAGCTTTGATTAGAGCAGCACTCAGAGACACTCAGAGTGCAGCTCACAAAGACACTCTCATGGACCCAGAGGGACAGCCTTCCATCTTCAGCTCCCTCTGTGCAAAAATGAAGTTTATTTCCTACCTACGGGGACTTTTTACCATCTTGTACCATTTACTCTTTTCCCAGAGCCTGACAAAGGGACTTTGTTCCCAAAAGTTTTGTGCAGAAAAGGACAATCTTCTTGTGATTTCTCAGTTGGTTTAATAAATAGTATCATTTTGGAATCAAGAATTCTAGTTTTTTATGTGTCTTTTTGTCTCAGACCAACACGGCTACCAAGTGCACCCCTAAATATATGTTTGGCACTTCTATAGTCTTTTTTCACTTCTTTCAAAACACTTTCTGAGGTGAACAGACCACCTTTTATAAGGGATGTGCAACAGCTTCAGAGCTATGTAATGCTGTACAGCTGTGTGAATTTTGACCAGTCACTCCCATCAGTGCCAGAACCAGGAACAGAACTGTGACTTCCAGACTCATTCTTGTGCCCTATCCACTAACACTGGAAGACTATGGATAATCAAGAAAGAATCAAGAGAGGGGGGAACAGCACACTGAAAAATAAAGCTAATAAGAAAAAGTACTTATGAAAAGGAAATAAATATTATTCAATTTTTATTTAAAAAAAAGGAATCATTACCTTCCCGAAGCAAAAGTGCCTGTTCCACTTTGCTATTGGGGGCTGCAAGTTCAAGGGCACATTTGAATTCAGCATTCCTGCACTTCAAGCTAGCACCATAATCTGTTAACAAGTTAACAACTTCTGCACTGGATTTCCTAGCTGCAGCATGAAGTGGGGTGTCCAATCCTTTACCCAAGTCAACACTGGCTCCTTTAAAGAACACACATACACACAGAGAGACAAGAACAGACCACAGTTAGCCTTAACAGACCATAGTTAGCAGGCCACAGTTACCACTCACTTTGTTTTTCATCATTTAACTTAAATGCATCTGAGGATATGCAGGAGTCTTCCATTACCACAATTATCTTGTGAGAACTGTAGTGCTTAGTCTCCACAAAAAAACAGACTGCTATATTAATAATCTTCAAAAGACGTAAGAGCAAAATCAGAGCAAGAAAAAGAATAAAAAAAAAGTTGAGCAATTGCTGCATCTTTTGACTACCTATTTAACAATGTTTAAAATCTGTTGTAGTGCTCATCAGATTAATTTAATTACTTTAGAAGAACTGTGAGTAAAGCATTTATCCGGGGCTAATAGAGATACACAGATTAGGCCATATTCTTTGCTTATGTAAACTAGCATTGATACATAGGTGACAAACAAATATAACATTGAGAAGCTGTCCTGTTGTGTAGGGCTCTTTATAGGGATCACTCTAATAAGCATCTTCTCTTTCGATAACTGACCTTCCCTCTGTATTTAGTGAGCACTGGATGAAGTGAATGCTTTGCCTGGCTCTTGATTTTCTGACACTCTAAGGGAACTGATTCAGATCACACAGTAAAGCATATGCCAAATTATTTGCCACTCTTATACGTCATAGAATGAGAGAATCCCATTTTTTTGTTCCAATTTCAAAAGATGCATTATATTTTCAATATATTAGGAATGTACTGCTTGTCCCAAGTGGACAAACAATAATTAAGGGGCTCAAGCATGGACAGTTCTTGCCCTACCCACAATGTACCTAATTCTAGAAGCTTCTTGACACAGTCCATCCTTTGATACGTGCAGGCCATGTACAGTGGTGTTCCATGCTGAGAATGGTCTTGGTCAATATCAACATCATTAGCCACAAGAATTTCCATACACTCTCTGTGGCCTGGAAAACAGAGAAGAAGCTGTCTCCTCTTACTACTTTCCAGTAGGACACCTAACAAACACAAACTGCATATATAATATTAGATTAGAATATACAGAATAATGTGGAATAAACAAAAAATATTTATCTCTGGGGATCAGATTGTCAGGAGCAGGTTATGTTTCAATAAGTATTTAGGGATTAAAAAATAAATCAAGTCCACTTAGTATAAGCTGCACCCAAAATCCTGAATTTACCTCTCTTTACTGCTTCATGAATGGGTGAAGCAAGATGATTCCCTAGCTGTGCCTTGGCTCCAAATTCAAGCAGCATGTTGACACAAGCCGCACTGCCACTGCAGCAGGCATTAAATAGAGGAGTGATCCCATCAACAGTGACTGCATTGACCTGAAACAGCAAGACAGGTATACAGCAATCTCTTTTAAAAGGGCTGCACTTCATTGCATGCCATGCACATACTGACATTAAATGCATCATATGGATACATGGATCTTGTTTAATTTCAGAACCCTATAATTCACAGCATTCAGTCACACTCTATAGGAGACACCATTATCTTTCAAGTGCTGTCCTTTTTTATGAAGGACAGAACTACAGGACTCTGACAGTAACTACTATAAAAGCTCCTGCTGCGATCTGCTGAGAAAATTGATTTTTTTCTAGGAAGCTTTTAGAATGTTTACTAAATGTTAGGTTTCCAGCAACCTCAAATTGAAAAGTAAAATTTCTGAACAAAATCTGTTTTCTGATTTTATGAGAGAAAGGGGGAGGGCCAGAGAGAGAAACATTAGAAAAATATTAACAACAAAAAAGGTGAAAGTGCAAAAGTGTGTGGCCTTCCGAGGACTGAGCATGAAATATTTGTCAGAACAAAAACACTGATATCACCAGAGATTGAAAGCCCCTTCCCTGCAACACCCTTCATGGGGCTGCACATGTAGGATTAGCTGTCCATCTTCTACCTTGCAGAGTGCCCCATTGATGACCCAGTGTGACACAAACTGATCTACACTTTGTTGCAAGATGAAGTGTCCAAATTCAAGAGGGGAAGGGAATAGCTGATATTTTCTCTGAAAAAAAATTCATTTAATCAAAAAAGGAAAAGAAAACAGAAAAATTTCAGCTAGCCCTAATCCCACCATTGAAATGGAGTTTAAAAGGGTTTAGGTGAAAATTTTCCCTTGCCTACTTTAATGTAAGGCCAAAGCAATAAGACTGTACTAATTCTGTACAAGAACAGCTGGAACTTCCAGTTCTCACGGGGTAGAGCTCTACAGCTGAGGTTCTGTACCCAGCCTTCGGGGGAAGGATGGGGCATGCCAGGCTCCTGGAACCCAATCCCAGTATATGGGGTGGTGCCAGACCCCCAGACCCAATCCTGGCACTTAGAGCATGGTGGGGGCAGTGCTAGCCCTGGGGCCCAATCTGGGTGCAGACCAGCTCTGCACTACTCATTTCGCCTTCAAGGCCAAAGGCACCACTGTTCAGTAGCATCCACTTCTGCCACAGTCGGAGACAGCTGAACAAAAGACAGACTGGGCTAGATGGACCATTAGTGTGACCATTATGACACTTTGTTTGTTCTTATGTTCCTACTACAGAGCTATGTTATGTTGCAGAGCTGCACTTTACTAATTCAGTGACTAATGAAAATGAGAGAAGGTTTGACTGATTATGAAAGTATTATCCAATCTGAGTGGCTTCTAATTTGAGAGCAGAACTAAACTGAGAACAAAACAGGGCACAAAGGATTGGAACACTCTTGGAAGAGCAAGAGGATTTTACAGGAAAAAATTGGTACCAGGTCAAGGCTTAAGAGTTGTACAGCAAAGTGTCATCTCCCTTGGAAAAAGCAAGGCATTAGAAATGTGTTGACTAACACATTGTAATTAGCAAGACACTAAACACTGTCTTACCCTTAACTAAAGAGATGTTTAAAATACAGCCATATATATAAACATATTAGCTGTCTGTGGGTCACATTTTTAAGCTTACTTGTCCTTGTTTACAAGATGGTGAATCATGTTTTATGCCATGTTCATTGAAGCTTCCTCCCCCACTGAACATAATTAACATAACATAATTAACATAATTCCCCCCCACCATTATAGCCACAGCCCTGCCATTTGAGCTTTTGAACACCAGAAATTTGTTCTGCAGCTGGGCAAAGTTCTGTAAGAAGCACATTAGCCTTCATTTTACCTGTGGTCAGATGCCTCTTTCAGATGAGAAACTCCCATAGGACTTTGGAACTGAAGAGGCACTGACAGACATGCAGGCCCCCGCTCTAACTCATGGTGCTTTACATAAAGCACCATGAGTTAGAGCACTGCCCCGTGCCCGCCCCTCCAACCCAACAGATCTTCTTGGGGGAGGAGGTGGAAATCAAGCCTGCCTGCAGGAGCCCAAGGAGCTTGCCTGCAGATGAGGAGCTGCACCCCCCAGCCCTGCCCCTCTCCCCTCCCAGCTCCATGGCACTTTGCAGGAAGGGAGGAGGGAGCAAGCTGGCTGAGGTTTGCCTGGCCTGAGCTGGAGAGGTGGAGGGAGGAGGCAGGGAGCTCCAATCCACCTACCTGCCCTCCAGCTCAGGTCAAGGAAACCCCAGCTGGCAGCTTGCTCCCCCTCCCCCCTCCCTTCCTGCAGACAGCCCCAAATGCCCCACAAATTAACCCTAGGGAACAAAAGTTCCCTACTGTGCACTACAGTGGAGAGCCTTCACCTGATCCCTCATTTGATGAGGGTTAATTTGATATGTGATCGGCCACTTTAAAAACATTCTGCAGCCATGCACGTGTGTCACAGCATGTCTGTAGAGTGCTTTCAGGGGGCCGATTAAGCATCAAATGTAACTTCTGTCTGCGCCCAAGATGATAGTTGTCCCTTCCTACAAGTTACCTGCTCCCTTCAAGACAGGGTTCCTGTTCCTTTGGGGCCCCCTGTCCATCCTTGACCTCCCTTTTCCTGGTAAGCCTAAAATCCCCCATCCTATACAGCTTTTAAAACAGTAGGTGGAAGATGGTAAGAAAATGGTTGTAAGCACTCAGATTTGATTGATTTTATAATGGACAGCCAATCAGACTTGAAGTGAAAGTAAAAAGACTGATAAAGAAGAACAGCTTCTTTCATTCTTTTCTCCCCTGGGTACTGACTTACTTGATAACAGAGAAAGGAACATTAGGAAGTCTAATTTCAGAGTAATGACTTCATAAGTAAGACAATTAAACAACAAAAGCACTGAAGAAAAGCAACAGAATGGGGCACTCTTTATCCAAGAGGCTACATGTCTATTAACTTTAAGTATAGGGAGAAGGAAAAAAAGAGTGCCTGAAACAATATGTTACATTCAAGAACAGGAATAGAAGAGTAGCGACCGAGATGACAAACGTGACAACTGATTGTTCAGCCTCATGATTTTCTGGGTGTTGGAAAGATATGCTGTTAATAAACCAAACCATTGCTTCATTGTCCTTTCTTTTTTTAAAGAACAGATCCCAAACAACTGGAAATGCAGTGAAGCTGAGGATCAATGTTTGTTTCTTGCTCTCTAGGGAATTAAAAGTTAATATACAGTGTGCACAGTTATTTAATAAATATAGTTTCTCCCACAAATAGGCAGTTGTTAGATTGGAGTTACCCAGTTTGTTGCCCCTCAACATGTCAATAGCTCAGGACAGTAATTAGAGGAACCTGTAACCAGGCTGAATGAAATATATTTCATTAAACTCCAATATTTCCATTTTAAAATGCATTTTACCTTAGGTCCAACTTGGGGGAAATGTTGCTATTTTATTAACAGATAAAATATTTCATTTCTTTAAACCCATTTATTTTTTATTTATATGCACGTTTCAAACTAATCTCACAAAAGACCATGGGGAATTCCAATGACCATTGTGAAAAGAAAAGGATAAATCATTAACATAACGATCATTATGGCCTGGTTATTCTAATTTTTTATGTTGATCACAGTAAAGTTTCACAGAAGAAAGACAGAAGGGAATATATTGGAGACTAAAGCTACAACAAAGCTTTGAGATCCTTCAGGATGAAAGCCATCACTAAAGAATCATAAACAATTTATTATTGGTGAAAACAGAGCATTTTTTCCCTTTTGTGTCTAGAATTTGTCAATTTTGATATGTGCAGCTTGGAATCACTGTCAAAGATAACTGTACCACAGAGTACTGATCGCCCCTTCAGAAGTTTGGCTCCATTCCTAGCATAAGCTGCATGACTAACTGCATGTTCTAGATTGCATCAACATATGCCAACTATGTATCATGTAGCTACCAAGCACAGGATCCTATATTCTTTTTCAACTCTACAAACCCATGTAAATCACTATGATCTTTAACACTCACTCGAGCACCATTCTCCAGTAAAACTTTTGCACAAGCAACATGGCCACCAAGGCAGGCGTCATGGAGAGCAGAAACTCGGTCTATTGTCACAAGGTTTACATTGAATCCCTGGAAATCAGAAGAGAGATATGAAAACAGGCGGATGCGGGGTTGTGGACACCCTCACCACAAACAAAACATGAAATGCAAACATTACTGTTCCACAAAGGCCAAGACTGCATTCCCTGCTCTTGTGCAAACTCCTACTGAAATCAGTGAGAGTTATTGCAGAATATGCAAGAAACAGATGATCCTTTTTTGACACTATAGTTCTTGCCACCAACTAGCACCCCCAAATGTAGATTTGCAGCAAAAGATAAAGGGAAGCTGCTGTATGATACAGTAAACATCAGGAAACACTATACTTTTTTAGACTCCAATAGTGAATTAACTTCCTTATTTCTAGATACAAATAATAATCATAGTTTATAAGCTGTATTTTTATCTGTAAACTAAATACAGCAATATTACTGGTCTAAGTTACATTACGTATACTGTTTCCTTTTCCTCACTTTTCTAGAAAACACTTTAAACAGAAAAAAAGAGACTGTTGAATAATAAGCCCTTTCTAGGAATGTCTGAATAAGAGCTCTTTTATTAATTTATATTTGAACAGAAAACAGTGATTCTCAACCAGGGTACCATGGCACACCAGGGTGCTGCAAGATCCTTTTAAGGGTACCACAGGGTACCTCACAATATTAACACTCTTAGGTGTTAATATTGTGAGGCAATATTCACAAAATAAACTCACAAAATTCACAATTCACAAAATAAACTCAGAGATTTTAAATAGGAATCCATAGTGTCCAAATATTCTAGTATGTTGTCGTATTAAATTCTTTGCAACAGAAGAATTGCTCTATTTTTCTTTCATTAAAAAACAAATGAAAACTAAAAGTTGGCATTTTCAGCAGGATGCCTTCAGTGAAAACAACTATTCCAAATACTCACTAAGGGAAAACAGCACAAATATGCTTGAATCCAAACCTGTGTGGAATTTTGTGAATACATTTTTCAGACTACAGCAAAGTCAAATAGAAAATAAAAATTTACACCCACATGCAAGAATACAATATGAGCCAACTGTACTATAGTGTAACACGGATAACACATTCTGGTATTTTAAAATGCAGTTGTTGCAAATATCTGATGCAAAACACTAAGCAGCTCACACGATGGCAGCAGTGTGCTTTCCTCCTTCCCCCCATCCTCTTCCCCATAAGTAAATTCTACACAAATTTACTTTTATGTATAAAAAGGTATAAAAACTTGTGGGCAGACAAATGCTGGGAAATTGTCCAGCTGCAATCCACTTACACAATAAGCAAAAACAGTCATAATACTCCGTAGCATAACCATTTAAAATAGAAAAAGCAAATGTATTTATGTAAGAGCTAAGCAATCACATTGATATTAAAACATGACATTGAGAACCTCTCTGGCTTTAGGCATCAGAAGGGGAATAAGCAAGATTCCTTTTGCACTGGTAGCTTATTGTCTAAGTTATCCTTTTTTATAGTTTTCAAGTTTACCACATGGTATCTTTACAAGAAGAAAGGTTTTCTACAAATCCCTTGTGTGAAGAAAGAAATGACCGCAGTGACATAGCATTAATTAAGCACATTCCTCTAACATGGGAAATGCAGCAATCTACAAGAGAGGAACATATTTTATCAGAGTAATTCCTTTAATCAGCAAACACTCTTTAAAGACTCAGGTATGGGATGTGAAAGCAGCTTTCCCCATAGCTACATTTATCCAACACTTCCCATTTTTATAAAGGAGCTGAAAACAGGGTCTTATACTTTTAAAAATACAGATATTTGTTAAGGTTTCTCACTCGGTACTGGCAACGGCTAGTCTTTTGAAAATGAAGTGCTTTGTTTTCTGGCTTTCATGGGCAGACTTTTTTAAAATCATGTCACCACCAATTCCTTGGAGGTTGTTCCTAAATCATTCAGGTGCTTTTGAAAAATCTTCTATGTGACTTTAAATAAAGCTACATGTTTAATATTAACTGAAGGGTAAGTATCTGAGAAACAGTGATCAACTGGTATGATACTGCATGAACAGCTTTACCCTTTCATTTATCTTGCTGCTGTGGATCAGCTCTGTCCCACTCTCTATAGATTATTATTCCCCACCTAACCAAATGGTAGCCCACTCTTCTACCACTGAAATCTTCAAAAATAAAATATTCAGATATATGCATCTACAAAGGTAAAACAAGCAGTACAGTGATCCTTATCATAGCTGAAGCATCCTTGTGCCCCAGCCATCCCGCGTCTACATGTGCATGGCTGTGCACTCAAGAACACCACTGTCAGATAGGTACTTCTGTTTACAACTGCTAACCTATGACAGAGTCAATTCGTTTACTGCAGTCTAATAGGGCTGTGCACCTAGACACCGAGACTTTACTGTGGAAGTAATTAGGCAACATCACAATAAACATCTCATGTAGATGCATCCACTGAACGGGCAGGGATTTCATTTTTCAAATTAATTACCTGAAGTTGGAGGCTTGGGACCAAATGGCCAATAAACAGAAGAGAATCAGTTTTCAAATTTCAAAGAAGTGGTTGTGGTACCCTTTAAATAACCACATACAAGTAAGTGTCAGGAGCTGGGGATTTCTTGGTATTCACTCCATTCCTTTTAGAAATCCCTCATTTCAGCCTCAGGCTCATTTATGCTCCACACAAATCCAGGGTCCCCCTCAACTTTAATGTGGAAAATCACTGTATTTTCTCACATAATGGGCATAAGAAAGTAAGTGTGAGCATGCCTCATTTGGGGTCTCTGTCATATATCTCCCACATTTATCAACTGACAGGTGGAGAAATAAGGTTGGATCTCAGGAGATGCATCTACACGAGACATATACTGTAGAGTAGATTAATTAGCTCCACACTAAATGTCTTGCATCTATAAGTTTGGCCTTATTAGGCCACAGGAAACTAATTAACTCTGCAGCAGTGTAGTACTTGTAAATACAAGTACTATTCTACTGCGGAGATATTTACTATGCTGCAACACACATGTAGACGTTGACCTGAGTTTAAATTGTACCTGGTCTGCCCTGCCAGCAGGGGGCTATATTCCTGCTTGCTGCCTAGGCACATGGCTTGGCAGATGTAGGAGCCTTGTGTCCCAGCCACCTCCTCCACCATCTGATGCAGTCACTTGTTGCCCAGGCCTGACCCCTGGTATCCCCTGCCAGCCTGGGGTTGCTTCTCAGAGCCCAGACCATACTGCCACCGCCAGCTTGAGCCTTGGCCTAGCCCTCATGCCCCCTGCCAGCCTAGGGCTGCCCTGGCACCTGTGCAGCTGCTAACAAAGCCAGAAGCTGCCCCTGGATGCTGCAGGGGGGCAGAGCAGGGCAGAAGCAGCCCCTGCTTAAACTGTTCCTCCTGGGCTCAATTTGCTGCTGTCCTAGGATCATGGGTAGACTGCATCTGGGAGTAGTATACTGCAGTGCAAATTGCTCCACACTTTATTCAGTCGCAATAATTGCACATATAGGTGCACCCAGGATGATGAGGTTTCTTGGATATCTGTAGTAGTGGGCACTGATAGAGAAGGCACCAAAAATCTAATAATCCTAACTTGTTCCATTGTCCTTATGCACTATGCCATACCGCTTCCTATCTCCTGTTCACTGCCCTCTGAATTCTTGGCTTCAACTAGAGTGGAGACTACCACCCACCCAACTTGTATATGCTCCCCAATTTATGCCTTTCTAAAAGGAGCTGGTCTCTAAGGTGCCACCTTGCCTTTTCTTCCGCCTCTCCCCAACTAGGAACATACCTGATTGTTTTATAAAACAGTATTTACATTTAAACCTATACATTTAAACCTATACATTTTGCCTCCTCTATCCCATGTAGCCTGTTTTTATGGTTAGTCCTTGAAAAGGAAGCCAAAAGTTGGAAAAAATCTGGAATCTAAAAAAAAAAAAGAGATAGCATCTAATGAATTTATTTCTGGTTTCTTACCTGTGCAATCAAGGTTTTCAAAGATAAGAGGCGCCCTTGGAATGCAGCTTCATGAAGAGGTGATCGATCAGCCCATGAGCCTAACACAGCACAGGAGTTAATCCAAATATAAAGTAAAAACATGAAAACAGAGATGCAAACTGTTCCAAATGAACATAGGAAAATTTGTATTTGTATACGCGCGCACACGCACGCAAAACTGCCTACTAAATTCATTTTAGTGAGAGAAGATAAACCTTCAGCACTTTTGGAATAGCAGGGCACTTTTTTAGGTATTTGGAAAAAACGGTTCATGGGCAGAAACTTTAAATGCAGCAAAGTAAGCTAAGAGCACAAATCCAGTCCTGCTGAGACTCTCTGTGGTACTTGAGAAAATTCCACTCTCTGATCCTAATTTTTAAATCTTGACCATAGCCTTTAATTGGTAACTTTAGCTGAGTGCCTAGCAAACCAATTTAATATGCCCAGAGCAATTTTCTCTCTGACTTAGCAAATACGAATTATGAATGTCTCTACCTTTCCCTCCAACCAGGTTAGCAGATATCGATATTTTACCTCCTCACCCAGGAGTTTCAAAGAAACACTGCCCAACGCTCAATTCCTACTTTTCTACATCATTTTGAGCAATTCATCTCAAGTAAACTCCCCAGTGAGATCTGTGGGATGTCTTTTTTCTTTGTCTGTCTGTGGTTCTCCTTAATTTTCTGCTTGGTTGAATGACTATACAACCTTTAAGTAGTAGCTCCACTTAGAAACATTATTTTAGTTGTAAGGATTCAGAATTTGCTGGGGGTGTGTTGCCATTTAAGACAGAATTGTGTCAAAGTCCAAGCATTTTTCCCAGAGTTAATAGCTACCACAATAAGATGGAAAGGAACTTGTATCATTATTTGTCCTAGTTCCATCTAAGGTTTTCTTTTTTATAGAACCCTTTTCCTTAACATCTGCATTCTTATGTACTTCAATGTATTAAAGCTCACATTTTTAGGAGATAGGGAAGTACAATTATCTCCGTTTTGCAAATGGGGAACCAAGATGCAAAGAAATCAGTGAGAGTTACATCTTCCTAATATATCTGAGGATCTGGGCTTAAATTTTTTGGCCAAGCTCACACAGTGAAATAAGTAATTGAACCTAGGTCTGCAGAGTCCCAGGCTAGCACTAGGACCACTCGCCCGTTCTTCCTTTCTGCTGGGTCCCAATGTTTCAACTGGAACAAGGATGAAAATAGTAACAGATTAAAAATACATGATCAGCAGTGGCCAGACGCACAATATGAGAAGGAAAGATGGGAAATCCATTTATATTGAAGGGGCTGGTCAGAGATGCATAGGTGCAGAAAAGCTAGAGCTATGCATTAAAATCCATGGATTAAAAGCAAATTTATTCTTTATGGTACTTTCTTCCATGTTGTTTGTTGCTGTTGTTCAGTGTTTTGCTCTGTGGTAGGGCAATTCTTGGCCTTTTCATAGTTTATTCAACAGAGAAAGGCAGAACACAGAGTAAGCCTTTGTTCATTACCATTACTGCTTTTTTTTTTTTTGGCTGGCATTAAGCAATCCTCAAATGTTTTTTTTTTCCCTCCACCAATCTCAACATCCCCACCCACCAAATAAAGAGAGACCTATTTACCAGACCAATAAATAAATAAATATTATTAAAGCTGTTGCCACATTTCATCAGTCTCCCAGTAAATACGGTCATGGAGTGACCTCCAGGGGTTGCTTGCTCAGGACAGCTTCATCCTTGTCTCTGGCAGAGTCCCTGGAAGCCAGCCTGGGATTGACTTCTAAAGCAAGGGACAACCCAGACTTCTTCCAACTCTGAGACCCCAAACTTTTAATATTTCACATTTCCTGATTCTCTGTGGCCCTGACTGAACATCCAGTTCCCCTCCTGAGAGAGGGACTTCACCTCCTGTTGGGAAGATCCACCACAGCCACTAGTACCACGCAGCACAGCAGATAATCTCTTCAGTAAAGGCATTCATTGGGGCAAAGGCCACCCAGCCAGAGGTTTTCTGCTCCCTTTGAAGGGGTTAATCAATCCCTCCTTCCCCAAACCAACTTTGCACAGCCCTGTGCACCCCCAAAGATACTCAGCTGCTCCCTTTCTAGTCTCTCCAGTTCTGTAAATCTCTCCACTTCTCAGTCCCCAGACTCTTCTGGTCAGGAGCTGCCAACCTGATTGTATTCCTGGGTGTCAGGCACCTCAGTTTTGTTGATGTTAACAAAGCTATTTAAGGGCCCCTGCAAACAATTGAGCTTTCTGCCATGCCACAAGTGCATGATTGGAGATGTGATTGTTGGATCACACATCAGATCCCATCACACCTTATTGCTGGTGCAGTGGAAGCCTGGGATCATGATCCTGGGCTCTCCCTGCATGGGGAAGAAGCAAGCTCCTACAGGTGGGAGCCCCTTCCGCTAATGGGGATCCTAGGCATGGAGATGTACCATGCACCTGCATGGCTGGGAATACCATCAGCTAACTTAGGCTCCCAGTCAGAGGAATTTGCTTCTTGCCCATGCAGGGGGAGCCTAGGATCATGATCCTATGCACCCCATGGCTGGGAATCCTGTCAGCTAACCTAGGCTCCCAGGCACGGGGGTGCACCTGGCCACACTTTCAATTAATGGCATGATAGGAATCAGCCACAAAGTTATTACACATTCTTGTAATAACTTGTTCCTCATTTTGTGATGACATTTTATGATTGAATGTGTGGCTGGATCACAAATTAAGATGCAATTAACTGGTTAATGATATCATGTCTAAGTGTAAGGTGTGGCAGCAGTCTGAGAGTCATAGTTCACACTAAAGGTCCATCCTGTCTTGTCCTGCATGAAGACAGCTCTGACACTTAACCCTTCATTTTCTGTGCACAGGCTAATGGGGTAAGCTGAGTCACACAATATAACAACATGAACACAGTTAATACAGAAATATCACAATAAAACCCCACAGTCCATTCAAACCCCCAAATCACATATGCCCACAACATTACAGAGGAAAATAAAATCAGAAACCTGAAAACTGCCATGCTTAGCCTGGATTCTTTATGAGACAATGACCCAGGGTTAACTAATAATCATAACCTTGGATTTTTATACGTGTGCTCCGGAGGGTGGGGGGTGGGGGGGCACTTTAATTAAAAGCGTCCAGAGTGTCACACATATTACCGTCCTCATGCTGAAAATTGGCAGCAGGACGCTTTGAACTAAAGCTTGTTGAATGAGCTTTAGTTTAAAGCACCCTGATGCAATTTTTCAGTGCAGGGACACCGATAGATGTGACACTGGACTCTGCTAGAGCGTAGTAATTACCACGCTCCAGTAGACTTGGTTAATTGAGCCTGCTCTGACATGTAATTACAGTGTACATAATCAAAGCAGCCCCCCTGCATGTGTATAGGAGCCCCTTAACTCTGTCTTTGTAGAGTTGCAACCATACAGCATTCCCAGAGAAAGACATTAAGTGTTGCATAATTTCCTTAAATTTAATAATAGCAATAATACCAGACCTGCCAAAAATGATCATTAAGATTGCCTGCTACTTTCTCTTCAGCTCCTTACATCTTTAACAAACTACTTGGACTAACATTTTCCATGAGGGGTATTTGCCTTATCATAATAAAACATGAGTCTGAAAAAACCTCCAGAGTGAAAGTGTGCCTGAGGCAAGGAGCCAGGGTGGGGAAGAAACAGAAGACCAGAATGGAAGGGTCATATGTAGGACAGGCTTGTCCAACTTCTGGGCAGCTTGGGCCCACACGCCATGTGTCCCCTGTCAGCGATGGCAGGAAGCAGAAGCTGGAGGAGGGAGGAAAAGCCCAGAGACCCTGGTAGCCACAGAAGGAGTGTTTGGGGGCAGCGGGGTGCAGAGGGGGTTTGTGGCCAGGCAGGAGCCTTCAGGCTACAAGTTAAACCCTCACAGGCCATGAATTGGGCACCTCTGTTGAAGGAGATGAGGCAAAAGGGGGGTAAACTTTGGGGGAACAGGCAGAAGATTTGTTAGAGCAATGATTCCCATCCCCGCTACCTGAAATGCAACTCAAGATTCCTCGGTTCTACTATCTCTCTGCTGTTAAAAAGTATCTATGAAACCCGCAGGCCCAGTGTTGAGGAAGGCAATCTATTACTGATATAATTGGACCAAATGGCTCAGGCCTGAGCAGTGCATCTAAAGGTTCCAGCCCTGCTACTGACCTACGTAGGAGTAACGATGATGCCACATGATGACACTTCTGATTAAGTTCACCTGTACTTATCATCTGTCCCAGGCTTTATATGACAGTCTAGCGTGTTTAATTAGCCTGGGTGGAACATCACACTACAGAGGTTATATTGCTTCCAGTATGTAAGCTAGCTTAGCTACCTCTGCACAGCACTACATTAAGGTATGTATTCAAATCACTTATTCTGGGGACCCAATTCTACAGGTAAGACCCTTTTCCCCTCCCAAAGTATATAGGTTTATATAGCATTTGTATACAAACCCCACTTACTTTTGTCCTCAGTAACACTTATGAATGCACAGCACTTCTGTAAATCAGAAAGGAGGTAAAATCCAGCTGGAGCTACCCTTATTCTCCATTAGGCCTCAAATCCTGTACAAGACCACCCATTCGGGAGGTAATAGGACTCAAGTGGTACTTGCCCTTCCTTTTCACCTGCCTTGTGGCTTTGAGGAAGGCTGCAGGAAAGGAATCAGACAAAGACTATAGGTCAGCAGAAGCAGCTACAGAACCAGCAAAAGCAAAGACCTCTGGATAGTCAGAGTAGTTTCTATATTTTTGACTGGACTGCCTCTGCTCTGTGCTGTTTGGATATTTCGTCTCTCACTTTTTTGATCTTGGAAGTCCTGCTCAGCTCCTAGCTGAGGATTTTAGCAGACCTTTACTGAGCATAAAACTAAGAACGTCTCAAAGGCTTATAAACTGGTGAACTTTGGAAAGCTTTTCATAAGGATGGCAAACACCCTCTCTCTATCAAAGATTACCTTCTGATCAAATTTCAACTCCCTATTCCAAAGTATGGCATACTAGAGCTTCTTAAATAAAAGCTTGCTGATATTTTTAATAGGCACTAAATAGAACATTTTTTCCATAGCTTCAGATACACAAACTCGATCATTTTAGAAATTTAAAACAGGGTCTGTATAAAGAAGAAGATCAGGCAACCATAGGAGTAACCATAGCACCCCCATCTATACTTAGCTTTACGTACACACCACATTGTATATTCCAACATATTAAATAAACATATACAGTGCATCTCATCTATATTAGTCACACATTTTATGTTACATGCAACAGGGACACTTCTCACCATGAAAATGCACGCAGCTGTGTATTTCCATGCAAGTCACAGCAACATACCTCCCTGAAACATATGGCAAATGTAGTTCCCGTAAGGGGCATTTCTTAACTCCTCAGTTATGAAAGACATTTCTGAAACACCATGGATTTCCTATATTTCTGGAGGAAAATGGAGAAAGTTTGCTGCTACTTCTCTTGCCATTGCATTACTTTGGGTTATGCTGCAAAACTTCATCTGTAATCCAATACAGTACACAGGCAATATCATCACATGACCTAGTGTTTTGAAAGACTATCCTTGCAAATGGCAAATATGATACAGTCCTGGAAAACTTGTATGTACTTAGCTAAGAATCTTTATATGGGTAAACCTACCAGTTATCAAGTGTCTTAACGGCATTTTGGTTAAGGCATATGAATTAAATACTTAATTCACAAATAAAAAGAAGTCTTTGCTAATAACCCATAATTTACAAGACACTATGGAGACAAGTACAAAACAACATGAATATTACAAATTCTAGTCAGTAAGTGCCTTATAAAAAAGATGGTACTGCCTTTCTTTTGACAGGACTCTGATTTTCAGGCCACAATTTGATTCTGGCAGCACCCTGAATAGCCATTTTTCACCATAAATAGTTCTATTGACTGCCTTGGACAAACTTATGGTGTAAGCCTGTAAGGCAATAATTTTCATAGCTGAGTGGGAAGTAATATTATTAGAAAAGAAACAAAGGTAAATGATCATTTTGAGAGCCTGCCAAATATTTTATTGCCAAATTTGATTTTCATAATAATGCCAACTGCTTTCATTTTATAGCTCAGTACGGTTCAATAAAACAGATATTCTTGGCTTGGATTCAAATGAACAGTAATTACACCCTTCCTAGTGTCTTCCTTTAGGAAATTCACATTCTCTGTCTTTTCTCTTACTGCTCTCTGGTTTTGACTCAAACTTAGTAAAACCCTTCATTACTTGCACAGTTAACTCTAACAGCCGGTCTGCTTCCAAAAGCAATCTTTTATTTCCTATACTTACGCAAACATTTTTCACACGTAGGCTGTCTAATTGTTAGTCTCATATTTTGCACACCCAAAACATGCCAGTGCATGCTGCCACTGTGCAAAGCTTGCAGAAATGGAAAGTGTGGTCAAACCATTCAACCAGCACATTTAGCAACTACCTCAACTTCTGGCAGCACAATGATTAAAATTTAATTCCTCAAGACCTCCATATTTAGAGAACATGTACTTAAAGTTTGAGTGTCTGAAATTCATTTTACCTGGTACTATTCCATAGATCTCTTCTGCTATCCTGGCAGCTTCTTTTCTGTTGCCTTTAACAATATAGAAATGGGTCAGCAAAGCCAAGGAAATCTTAATTAAAAGTTTGAAACAAAACAAAGCAAAGATTGCAAAATAAATATTATTAAAAGCATGGAGTATAGAACTGCCCTCCATTTTGGTTTGCTTTTTGTATAGTTTTCCAGGTCTGCTAAGTTGCAACAGGTTATTATGGGCATCATATTGCATCTATTTTAAAACCTCCAGGACTTGCTGATCCTCATGTTACCAAAAATATATTCAGTTTTTATTTTAGGTTAGAAAGTTGATAGCAAACAACATTGCTGAGTAATAAAGCATTTTGTGGTTTTGAGTGATCAAAAAATATCATTTTCAGTTATTTTCCAATATGGAAACAAAGGACTAGAGCCCTGAACCTGGAATGTGTGTACAGAAAACAAAAAAATGCACATAAATTGCAAAGTAAGGCACATTAGAAGTCATTTTCAATGGGAAAATGTTATCTGCCAATGGCTTATCAATTCCCAGTATATTTATTCTCAAATCGAGTGGGTAAATTTACAATCTGCCTACTCAGTATCTCAATATGCCAAGTGTACAAAAAAGAAAGGTCAAAAGAAGGAAAACTAGAAAAAAATCAGTTTTATGGAACATTGTATTGATCTATGGGTGAAGGCATGTTTCTCCAGTTAGGTGACCTTCATATAATTCCGTTTCCTGTCTGAATAATTAGTGCAGCTACTGTTCCACAGAAGCAGAATAAGAAAAAAACAAATATAATAAAAGAAAGAAAAAACCCTGCTCAGGGGAACTGAAGAAAAAAAATACCCATTTGCCAATAGGCTTCAAAATGTTAAAAGCATTTCAGAGCTGCTTGAAGATAGGTTTTCAGGAAGGTGAAGTGGATTTTTTCCCATCTCTGAGTGGCAGAAGACACTATGTGAAAATATTCATAAGAAATAACATAATTTTAGAGGAAAAACTTTTTCAAAAGGTATCCTTCATTTGTAAGCATTGTATCTGGCAATTTAAGAAGTATGGCCTTTTGTAATTAGATTTTTTTTTTAACCAAAGTCTCTACAATTCTTTCTTCATTTAAAATTATTCTTAAAAGCCTTCCCCACAAGTAAAAGAAACAAGAGTATAACTTTAGTTCATAACATATAGCATCATCCAGTCAATATCCCATTCACCTCAACTGATGTGTCCATCCTAAAATGCAATCCTGCAGAGATTTGACAAAGGCAGATCTTCACAGTAGCAAGGAATCCCAAAGAATTTCTTTGGGATGGAGACCTGTATTGGTGTGATAATTACATAGTTGTATTGTTTGCTGGGATGTTATATATTGAAAGGACTTCTTTGGATGGGTTTTGGGCTGGCAGACCGAACTGCAGAAGAGCTGGGTGTGACCTAACTAATTGTACCCTGCCCTCTGGATGGTGCTGGAAGGATCCGTTTCTTGGCTCTTTCTAGAAGCTGGAGGGGGAAAAGAGATGTAAAGTGGGAGAGCGAGAGTGTGGCCATGTCCATGCATACCTGTGCCAGCCTGGAGTCCACAGAGCCTGCTAGAGTAAAACCCCAGAGTAGAGACAGAGGGAGTCTGCCACGTGGTGGCTGCAGCAGAGAAGACTGGAGCAGCAAGGGCAGAGGCAACTCATTGAGGGAAGCAGAGAAGCTAAGACCTCCGGAAACAAGGTGGAGTTTGCTGCAGAGACAGGTATCCAGGTTCTAGCTGCATTAGTCTAGAGGCAAAAGGAACCCGGACTCGTGGTAGTTGTGATTCCTTCTACAGACAGGGAGCCACTGGAACCAAGTGTGGTCTGTGAAATAACGCCCTAGCCAGGGGTCAGTGAAGCATTAGGAGAAAGTGTGTTTTAAACCTTTATGTTCTGCTCTGTCTTCTCCAGTTCCATTGTAGCATTTTTCCATATTAAAGTTAGTTTTTACCCACAGCACGGTATAGGGCAGGGGTGTCCAACCTTTTTGAATGTGGGGCTGGATTATGAAGTTTTTATCACCCAGTGAGCTGGCGAGCCATATTCAAAGATGTCACAGGAAGTGGTATCATATCAGGAAGTGATGGCACGTGACCTTTGATATCAATGAAGTTGCAGGAGTTGACATGGTGCTGGTTGACATAGCATGCATGCCCGGGTTGACATGGTGCTGCAGGAGCCGCTTAGCTACAACCGGGTTGCCCTGGTGCTGGAGAAGCCACGAGGTCAGGCCGCGGTTAACCTGGGGCCCGCCCGACCTGTGTGTGCCATGCCCGGGTTGACATGGTGCTGCAGGACCCGCCTGGACAGCAGCCAGGAAAAGCAGCATGCAGCTGAAGCTGGCTTCCCATGTGCTGCTGGGGACGGGAGGAGGCCAGCCAGGCCCCCACCAGCCAGCAGAAGCAGCGGCAGAGCCGTGTGCCACTCGGGACTGACAGTGCTGGCTCATTGCATCCAGAGCAGCACATGGCTCCCCCCACCGCTTCTGCTGGCTGGTGCAGACCCTGCTGCGCTCCTCCCAGCCCCAGCAGCCCATGAGAAGCGGCCCCCTCAGGGCCTCGCGCACAGGTGGCCAGGCCCGGAGAGCTGCAGCACCCGGGGGGAGACTGGCCAGAAGAGCAGGAGCCGCCTTGCTGTGGGGCAGGGCAGGGCAGCGGGGCTGGCTTGAAGCAGGTGGGTGAGGAGGCAGGTGCAGGCTAGCAGTGCCAGCGGCCGCTTCTTGGCCTCCCATGCAGGGCCGCTTCCCCGGGCCCTGTGGGGGTAAGCAGCTCCCCTCCCCTTGCTGTGGGCTGGGGCCCGCGGGCTGGCCCCACCACCGCCTCACCGCTGGCTCCACGCTGTCGCAGCTCCGCACTCCATGCTGCCACCATGGCTCCACGCAAGTGTTGCTGCCGCCACCGCGCTCCGCCGCTGGCCAGATAAAATAGCTTGGCGGGCTGCATGGCGGACAAGCCTGGTATAGGGGAACCAAGCCAAGCAGCACTGCATGTGAACTGTGCAGCAAGCAGCTGACAAGACTTGCAGCCCATCTGGTATGTGGCTAGAGAGCCTGAGGCCCCCAGGCAGTTAGAAGTTGGGCAGCCCTCCCCTAACAGAATATGAGGGACAAACTGCAGCACTTGACAAACCTGAACACAAAGAGCTATGTTTCTTATCAACTGAATTCATAGTTCCTGAAAGAGCTGAAATGACTTCTGGTAAGTTACCAAAATGCACCTGAAGTGTGAGGGACATCCAGAAGGTCACTTTCTTGGGAAACTAGCACAGAATGAGTAAGAGATATGTACACAAAGAATGCACAGCTCAAATCTAATCTCCAGATTTATAGTTAGCATCTGATGAAGTAGGCTATTACCTGTGAAAACTTACATTTCCCTGAACCAGTTAGTCTTCAGGGCTAGGGACAGAAGTTACACATACACCATTTTAAGTGATCAGAAACTGGTTTAAACCTGTAACAGAACAGAAGTTTCAAAATAGCTGAAATTGGTTTAAGATAAACCTGGTTGAATGTAGTATCAGACTTAAACTGGTTTGACCCAAATCAGTTATGAAACTTCTGTCCCAGACCCCTTCCTGGTTCAAGTTAAATCACAGTCCCCACAACATCCCATCACATTTTCTAGCTCTAGGCTAGGTTGTCTGCTCCAGCAGAGAAGGGTTGGGCAGGAGTGCAGGGGGGCAGAGGCAGGGACTTCCCCTCCGCAGGTAAACCCTAGCTGGGGTCTGGGGCCAGGGAACAGGGTTAAACTCCACCCCCCACCCCGAGTACGGAGATGTCCTGCTCTGCTAAAACCTTACTGCTGGCTGCAACTGTGGACTAAAAATCCCAGAGGCACCTGGAAGTAGGAAAAGGAAGTGATGAGCAATCCTGTAGAGTCCTCCCACTGT